AAATCGTCAAAACATAACAAAAACGCCAAATAATAAATAAAATTGATTATTGAATTAAAGATACATTTATTGAAATTAATATTGTATCATATAAAATATTAATATAAACATATATTTCTTGTGTGTGTATGTTTTTAAAAATAAATAAAACTGTTTATAACAAAAACAATAATTTTACAAATTAGTTTATTTATCAATCGTTGTTTTATCGATCTTCGAAACCTCGCGTTTTGAATTTGCGCAAATACACAAATTGTCATCTCATGGAGTATACATTATTAATATGTTATTTGCTATCAATTTTTATTGTTTGAAATATCATAAATTGATTTATAATAAATTGCATTTTTTTGTGAAAAAAAGATTAAAAATTGTTAGATTAACCCTTCGAGGACGGGAAAAATCATAATTTGTAAAAAAAATAAAAATCTTAGTCAATTGTAATGTAAATGTGACCTTTTTTTCTTTAATTTTTTCAAAAAAGCTAGACATCCTGGAACGACGGCTCTAGTATATTTTTACAGTAAATTGTTATAAATTATAGTAAAAAAAGTGAATTTTTTGATGAAATTGGGATGAACAAAGGTTCACTTTTTTGCTTGATCCTTTCGGAAACAAGTCACAGTTCAATGGAAAAGTCAGATCAAAATTTTATTGAGATGTCCACAACTTATTACAATAATAAAATTAATTATAAAATATAACAAAGACCAAATTGCATCATAAAACATACTGGTCCGGAATATTCAAAATCAATTACATCATAAAATAACAAAGAAAAAATAATAAAGTATAGACTTTGAGGTGTCTTGAAATTTCAATATGCAATTGATCTCAAAAACAATAACAAGGGAAAATAAATAGATTTTTTTTGTAAACTTTGAAAAATACAAAAATTTAAAAAATTGGGTTTTGCTATTTTTTTGTAAAATAAATAAGCTAAGACGTAAAGACACTTTTGTTTGTTCCGACTTCGAAAAAAATCTCAAAGAAAATAAACAAAAAATAAACAAAATATCTAAAATACATTTTCAAAAGTATCAAAAATCACAAAATCGAGAAAAATTTATAAAAATGACTTAAACAGTCAATATAGTCGCGTTTGTATAAACTTTGATCACCACGAGGTTCTATGGTCATCTATTGAATTTCACGTCGTGCCACTGTCGAGGAAGCAAGATATGAATTCATTGTTTGTAATTTGAATATTTTATCATTTTCAAACAAAAACTAAGGCAAAACGTGTTTTATGCAATCTATTTAGAATATAAAGATTTGTATTTGGTAAATAATTGTTTATTTTGCAGCCACTGTTTATTCATTTTCGAATTATGCATTTTTGGGCAACAAACAAAAAACTTATAGTAAATGTATAGAGATAATGAAAAACAAAGAAAAACACAAGTGTAAAGACATCATGATATATACCAAAGTTGACACTTTAAACTATAATTTATAATAAAATAAATTAATATATTATTAATAATTTATCATGTTATTTATAATAGTTTTATAATTATAATTGTTATATATAATAGTAACAATCAACAGACATAATTTTGACACAATAACACATCAACAATCATATCTATACTACAACGTGATTTTATCGAAGTGATAAGTGATCACATTGATATAACAATATTGTGTAATTAAAACTAAATTGTATTTTATGTATAATTATAATAAAATGGTATAATGACCCTTATTATAATGTTATCATTGTGGAAGATACATAGTGTTTGTAATAAAGCGCGTTTTGACTGAAAACATATCGTTCAAATTTAAAACAAAACAAATAAGCATATAATTTATATAAACAGAAACACGCTGGTTTAGTGAATGATCAATAAAATGATTACATGTGATATAATTGATCTAGTTGTTATATAGATAACAATTTAAATTATTTAGATGTTAGAATTGATTACATATATATTTATAATAATATTTTACCAATAATAATATAGAGTCCAAAATAATAATATAATAATAATAATATAATAATTTATTTTTTTAAAATGACAATAATGTTAAAATAATGTTATTTAAACACACCAAATAACAAAAATATTAAAATAATTATTGTTTTAAAAGAGATAATTTTAAAGAATATTTTAAATTAACGACGATCTGTTATTCCACGACAATGGATCAATAAAAAATAGGCAAACAATTGTCACTTATAATTTTATTAACAATTATAGTTAAAAATATTAGATAATTTATAATGTATTGTTTATTCAATTGATTTTGTAACGAATTGTGTTTTGTGTTTTTAAATAGACGTTTTCGTTCGAAACATGCCTCGGAAAAATTTGCTTTTCAAGAAAAAAAGACTGAAGAGGCTGTTTTTTGCGGCAAAAAAATCGTCTTTGGTAAAGCCATTTTTAAAAATACGAAAATAAACGGGACATTAGGTTATATTGAATTGTGATTCCAGAAGATTCAATAATTTTTATCAAATTGTTTTTAATAAATTAACAATTTATAAATATTTATCGATTTTTTATGTTTTATTAGCACAATAAAAAAACATAATATAAATTAACGAAAAGATAAATTTAACATATGAATTTTATTAACATATTTTCTTGTATAATTAACACACCGAAAAAAAATTAATTAACGAAAAAAATAATTAACAATTTAAAAATATTTATCGATTTTTCTTGTCAAATTAACACAGCGAAAATTTACCAATAATTTAACGCAATCAAAATTAACATCTTACTATTATTAACGTTTTTACATGTTAAATTAACAAACTAAAATGTAAATAATTAACGATAATTCAATAAAAAATGTGTATTTCAAATAAATTACATTGTACAATATCTGTTTGTAATTACAAACATTTATTTGTAATTATTAATTAAATATTTCTTTCGTTACAGAATCGACGGAGTAAAATATTTAAAACCACAATTAAACAAACATTATTTGATAATTAAACAATACTGTTTCATTGAAATTATATTTCAAAGAATGACTTGTTATAAATATTTATTTTATTATTAATTATAAACATAAAAAATGAATAAAATGATGTCATGTGCATGATCAACATATAAGACTATGGTCATTTTTCAACATGGAATAAAAATTGCACTACAATTAACAACATTTTTTATAATGATAAATCATTTGTGTTAGAAAAAAAACTATTATTTTAAACTTTTCAATATATCTTTCAACCTGTTTATAATTTTGTTGATACTTATTAATGTACAACATAATTGTTTTAGTATTGTATATTTAATTCTGAATTATATTGTTAAAATAAATTTATTGTAAAATGAGTAGCATTGATCATTCAACGTGCCAAACAATGACGATATAAGCAGTTGATTTGTCTGGAAAAAATACATTTTAACAAACAGTTAGTTAATAATGACATCAATAAAAAACATGATTATAACTTCTTTTGTATTTTAATGAACAACAAAAACACCAAATTTAAAAATATAAAACATTGTAACAGTCCATTTGTTTCAAATCATAAACCAATAGAAGTTTACGCTTTACTTCGTTTAAACATCAAAAACACAACAATAAATTTAATTTTCAATATATGGACAGTAATATTTAAATAAGGTACAACAAATTGTGTATTAATATATCATTTAAAACAGCTTATATTTTACATATATATAAGTTGAAATCAATAAACACGAAATTGTGACTTTTATGTATTTGAACTTGATTTTTTTGTAAAAAAACTTTTTGACATTTAAACAAAAGTGGGTAAATTCATTACTGATTCAACTTCAATACATATTTGTTGTTTTAAAACATTTCGTTGACAATATATCAACAACAATATTAAAATATGTTAACAAAAAATACACAACTATAGTTTTTAATTCATGTTAATTCTTAGACTACTAAAAATGATTTTAATGTCTTATGTACACGTTTAAGTGAGTCGCAAGTAAAATCCTAAAATTTGTGTAAACTGTGATACTTTTTTAATTTTACTGTTATTTTTTAAACTTTTAGTTTTATGTTACATTTTTACACATCGTAAAGTTACCACTTTTAATATTTTAGGCTGTTTTTAAATCACCAGTGTAGCAATAAACGGTAAAACCCAATACACCAACTGTTGTTATCAAATTAATGAAAATTACTAATTAACAAATGCTTCCATTTTAATTAATCATAATAGTTGTAATATTATCAAAATATACATGTTTACTTTTTTGTGTTGTAATATAAATAATAACTAAACGATTGTTAAAAAATTATTTGGATTAATATCTCGCTTGCACACCATTTTCAACAAAAATTGTTGATATGAAATTGAGGAT